CTACTATATAATAACTTCATGTCTTACATAATCAATGCATTTTCTGAGAATACAACTGCAGTCGCACTCGAGGACATATTTCTTAATTATTATTTAAAGAGAGCTAGTTGAAGTCCACATTAACAGCTATTTTTATATTATACAGTCGATACCATAGCAATGCAATACTGAAGAAGAAAGATAAATTAATTATTGCACGTTACAATAATAATAATCCTACTTGTTCCATCTACATTTTTATCTGTCTCTTAAATGAAGATGAGAAAAAAGTTATTTGTACCTCTGATATAATATATATATATAATTATATTAAAAATATCTAGCACTTTTTAAACTTTTTAATATACATTTATAAAAATCAAACTGCTGCAATAATTTCCACGTGATTGAATATTTTGAATCGAAGGATGTATGCCATACGTAAATTTCTGAAATGAGTTACGCAGCCATCTATATAAGAAATATTTGTTTCTGTTTACTTACTCTCACCGTTTCTTCACACATCATTCTTTTCTACGGGATACAAGAGTTCAGATTCATCCACTGAAATACCAGTACAAATTTTTCGACAAAATATACACTTTATTCTTACGTTCCATTGCACACTCGCGCTCGAGAAACCACTGGAGCGGAAGACGCAGGAGCGTAAAATACAATATTCGGGCTTGTTCGAGATCGTGTAATGTAATCTGGGTGTAAATCGCGACGGTGCGCTGCGAAATGCGAGCGCTGCTTGCTTGGCGCTGCAGTTCACGTATGTAGAGCAAGTGGCAGCGTTCCAAATCTCGCGAGTACGTGGGATAAACATTTCCGCCATAGGACAACCGTTTTCCAACGGCTTCAGGGGGATATGCGCTCCACGCGATATGCTCCATAAAAGTATCAGTCCACTTGTGAGTATCTCGTGACAGTTTTTGCATGCCAACTGGCAGACACGTTTGCGTAGAGCAAACGAATAAAATCTTTATGGAGAATTTCTTCATCAAATAAATGAAGGGAAATCAATTGGTTTTAATCAATTAGGATCGAGAATATTTTGAAAGCTTTATATCAAATAATGTTTACTATTCAATTATTATTATTAAACAAGCAAAAGCAATTTCTATCATTTCTACTTTTACCCTTTTAAACTTGCTTCTTTATCAAGCTATTTGTATTCTATACTGTTATTAAATGAGTAAAATATCGAAAATATCACAGAGAGAAGAGAGACCACTGAAAGTTTTGATATAAAACTGATACATTTCAAAATATTAAAGTTTCTTATTCAACTACAATTTTAGATATTAAATTTAGGAGTTTACAACGTACTTGTTTGCACAATCACGTTATATATAAGAACAATCCCTAAACTCACCTTCTAGTGATTTAGACATTTTAATGTTACGCATCATTTCTTCCTGCACTGTAAACTGTCAGAAATTTCTGCGACACTGCTTTAAAAGTAGTAAATTTTCAAGTTTCATGCACGTTTATATTCGAATATATTTCGTTTCTTCTGTGAAGTTTAGGGTCGCAAAATATTTCTGTGAAGATATAATGTCATTTAAAAAATTTACAATTTAATTTTTAGTTGAAATTTATGGTGGCGAGATAGTATTAGCGTTAATGTGAATCGCATTGAAATTGAAGCAAATTAAATAGAAATCTACTTTCTTTTTTTCTCTTTGTTATAAAAAGAGCTCCATTTTAAGCAAAATGTTTTGAATCTAGAATGATTTCGAGACTCTTTCGATTTAATGATTTGTACCTTGTTATCTTCAGATAATTAAATTTTCGGATGACATTGATATCTGAAAATTACGTTTGGTTCGTCGTTTATCGAATTACGCGGTAATGAATCGATATTTGAGATTGAGCATGTAGAATAGATGGGATTAATATTCAATGGAGATTTGATATTCGACACCTATTAAATCGATTCTCGTTCAAATATTGACACATGGCACGTGATCATGAAAGAAAACTTGCATAAATCGTGCGTTACAATGAACTAAAGTTGTCTAGGTTTTATTCAATTATTACAAGAAAAATGAGGAATTATAAATAAAAGTAATTTAAACGATACAGATATAATAAAATTAATAGCAATATTGTTGCATATAAATTGATAATTCAATTACTCTGATTAAAAATATTTAAAAAAAATGATTTTTTTGGATATTTCTAAATTTTAACATCTGTCTGCAAAATACAAACTTGTATAAAATTTTGTTTAATTTAATAAATAGTCTCATTGTGAACAATTTATCTAATACTAGACTTTTGGTCTAATTTAAATAAATCTATTTTTGGGTGTATAAGTTTGGATAACTATTGTTTCCTTCTATCCACTACAAATATCATAATTTTTAATTTTGTTTAAATGAAATGATGGTTTCAGAAAGATACAGAAAGAGAGATAACAATTTTTGTAACTTTTGAGTTTTTTTTTTAGACGTTAGCTGTGAACTCGTATGAGAATTCACAAGGCATTACACTGAGCTACAGACGAACTTGAGTACTTCACGGGCACTAATCACACTAACTGGTCGTGATCGGCAAACTTTTCGAACGATTCTCGTTCCTCGTCGTCAGCCGACCGAACGATTCGACGAACGTGGGAACGACCGGCTCGCGCAACTAATGGAATTATAGAACGACGATTCTCCACCGATCTCGTAGCGGACTTAGAAGCTTGCGAACTGTATCCCACAAATACTATCGATGAAACTTTTCAGACTTTCTCTACTAGAGTTTTGACATCTCGATAATGCTATTTCTGCGCATTTTGATCGTTACGAAGTAATTAAAAATTTACTGCTGATTCGCGATAAATCACTCTTTAATATATTTAAGTGTCGATATCAATTCCGAATAAAGAATTAAATATTTTCTTACATTATTTTCAATAGTGATACGATAGGAAATATATTTTTGTCTTATAATTGATCAAAAGCAATTTAGAAATTACAAAGTAAAAAATATACTTTTATTAAGGTGGTTCTTTAGTAAATCGAGTTACCACAGAAATGTCTAATTTTATTATATAATGAAGTTGAAGTACCGAAATTGATGTATGCAAAATTCTACGGTAGGTTAACGATGAAATAAGAGAGAAAAACAATGTTGAAATAAGAGAGAAAAACAATGTTGAAGATGTAACCTTTCACGTATAACTTAGTGACGGATAAGGCTCGCAGATACTTCTTTGACTAACTGCACACAAATCTTACATTGATTTTTCTAAAAAACGAGATTATAGTAATTTAAACAATTACGATTTTAATAGTAACAAAAAAATAATAGATCAATGGTCATTCTGGAAAGATATTTACGTGCATAAATTTGGACACAGTAGTGTCTCAGCGCTAATAAAATAACGAAAATTATTTAGGTACCAAATTCACCAATTAAAGGAGCGCACTATATTATTAATATATTCTACATCTAAAATCTGATTGAATGATTTAAAAGAATATACCAATAACAGCGAGCGCTCACTCAACTGTTGAGTTTGCTGAATGCAACTTATATGTAAGGTTCTGCGCACAATATAAGAAATAAGGAATTAGGAATAAAGAATGATGATTTTAACTTATCAGAAACAGTACATATTCAGATGTATTGAATTATGTGTTCTTTAATTTAATACGAATTTATTTGGTAAAAGTTTAATGCATAAAAGTGCACGAAGGGCACTGTAAGTACAGTTACAAAGATAAACCATCAACCCCCATGCTTGAAATCGTGTATTATGTGCACTTCCGCCATTTTGGCTAGCATTTTTTAAATTGCGATACTTTATCAACTCTTCAAAAATTATTACGTAAAAATTATAGAATGACAGCTTTAATGCTCTGTCAAAAATCATTCTTCGAAAAAAACTATTGTCCAACCAAATCAAAAATTAAAAATTAAAACCAAAATGATACCGTCTTAATTAACCAAGATATATATTAAAATTAAAACCTAAGTGGTAATATCTTTCTTTGTTACTTAACTCTAATATTATTAAATATGTATATCATTCATATAAAAGATTATAACAACTGGCGCCAAATTAAATTCCACAAAATTGTATGTATCATTCGTACAAAAGATTATCTTTTTTATTATTCCAACTCAAGTAGTAACAGTTTTAATTTTTTTTCAAAAATATTTTTATTTAAGGTCCTCTTATTCCAATCCAAATAATGACAGTTGTAATTCTCTATCAAAAATTATTACTCTTCGAAAAAAAAACTAATGTACAAAATTAAAAATTAAAATCTAAATGATATAATCTTAATTAACCAAGTTAAATTCTATCAAATTAAAAAGTAAAACACAAGTGATACTATCTTTGTTTATTTAATTCTATTAGTATAGAATTTGTATAGAAGATTTAATATCAACAACTGGTACCAAGTTAAATTTTACAAAATTTTACATATTATTCATATAAAAGATATGATATTAACAATTGGGGGGCACTAAGTTATAAATCCCTTACCAAATTAAATAAAAAATAATATTAATTCTAATTTACTTAACTCTAGTGATATGTATTATTTATATAAGATTTGATATCAACAACTAAAAATAATAAATTAAAAATAATTTATCCATAGAACAATTTAAGATCTTTAAAATTGGTCTCTTGCATTTTTTTTGTATGACTAATGGTTTTGATGATATATTAATTTGAATGTTCGTTGAAACGAGTGACGTTTTTCATGAATTTCTGCAATTTACAAGCATGAATCATTTCATGAAAAAAGATCTAAAATTGTTTTTTGTGAAATTACTACACGTGTCTCATATTGTTATCTGTAGAATATACGTCAGCAAATTAACGAAAAAATTAAAAATGATAATGTTTCAAAAGCGCTCGGTTTGACGTATAGAATGCTTTACGGGCGTCCTTGTCACATGTAGTTAGTCGTATCAGTTATGCGACATCGGTGATTATCAGTCATGTAATTAAAGGTTTCTGTGAAGAGAAAGCGAAGGGTAGGGCGTAATAAATAAAAACGGGTCGGTTGTGTGGTAATGTGAACATACATTTCTGGAATATCGTTGGTGCCACATAGATTTTGTGCTGAGAACTCAGGTAATGTCAGTAATGTCAAATCATTTGTCGAATTCAGAAAAATCCTGTTATAGTCATCTTCATGGATACCGGAAATATAGCCAAAATTATTAAGCCTTATAAATTTCATAATTTTTAGTAGGGATGCATCGGATCGCAAAATTATTTCGGATGTCCGAAAAGAATGTCCGGTCGGATATCTGATATTTTTCGGATATCTGACCGGATTCTGGGATAATCTAAAAAAAAGCTGAGTAAAAAAAGAAAAAGAGACTGTAATGGGAAAAAATAGTGATAATAATTATGAAAACACATGTAATACAAGCTAGAAATTAAATGCCTATGCTGGTTGAAGCTTTAATGCTTAAATAATTCAATGTGAATTATATATAGATACTATATATGTATGTACATGCATGTATATCATATGTGTAGTCATTCGAATTGCGCGTCAAATTTTCCGGACTTGTAGGAGCAATTAAACTACTGTAATAATAATTATGATTTTAATGTTATCGTTTGAATTTGATTATCAATAGATATAATGACTGTAGAGAAAAAAAATCGTAACTTTGCAGCAATATTTATAAGATATAGTTATATGAGTATGAATACTCTTATATAATAAAAAATCAACAATTTAATTATATATATTATCCAAATATTTATGTTAATAATTACAAATTTATATCAATTTATATCAATTGTCGATAATATCAGCATTTTTCAATTATTTCTGGGTCCTCAAAGCTCTTTCTGTATGGAAACTTTGCCCAGGTTCTTAATAGTTTTTCGTCGGTGACATGATGTATCATTTCATCCTTCTTTAATATTTGATGAACAAGGACAAATGATGCGCTTTATGTGTAATTCGGAACTCTATATCCTATTTTTATTTCATGTCTAATGAATGATAAAAATAGAATGACACGATAGCGCTGATACTGTCGATATCGTTCCCTGAATGCAGCCTTAACTGAATTTCTTGTACAATTTATCTTTTTTCTTTATTTTTTTCAATGAAAAGAAAAAACAGGAAAGATGAGCTATGTACTAGAATTTAATTTAATGCCACAATTGTTGATATCAAATCTTTTATATGGATCATTCTAATCATAATATATGAATCATATACATCTCACTAGAGTCAAAAATTTGATACTTGGTCAAAATAGGAACATAATAATTTTAATGTAATAATTTTTGAGAGGTAATTGCTTGGATTGAAATAAAAAGACTTTAATAAAAATATTTTTAAAGAAAAATGAAAGTTACTATTATTTTTTTTTGTAGGTTGGCATAAGAGAGGAATAAAATTTAATAACTTGCCACCAGTTGTTGATATTAAATCTTTCGTTAACTTGATATTAGTTGCTGATACTATATCTTTTATTTTTATGTAATAATTTTTGAAGTTAAAATTGCTATTATTTTTTTTGCGAGGTTAAAATAAGAAACTTTCAATAAAAATACAAAAATATACATAACGTGTTACTTATTGTTAGTAAAAATAATATATTTATTAAACAGAAAAAAGAACTATTTTAATTCCAGTTACATATTTATATTATATATGAGAAATATATAAATTATCATAAGAAAAATCAAATTAGACGAAACATGGATTTGTAGTAACATATCATAAAAATAAGTTATAAAACTCTCTTTTAGTAGTACGTTTTGTTCGTTACTTTTATTTTTTACTTTGGCTAATTAAAGTAATCGCATATTGACGTAAGCAGTTTACCAAGTTAATTCGCAACGATATCTTCTACAAGTTGGAAGTGAATATCTTATATAAACGTGAATTTTAGGTGAAAAAAAGGAGTGTTATTTCAGAAGTCTCAAAAAATACGCAAAAGTTAGAACAACAATGACAAAAATTACAATCATAAATTACATCATTGCAGCTGTTTGCGTAAGTCTTTTAATTTTTTAATCTAAAATAGTGTATTATGTAAAAATTTAATATTTACCAAGAATTGTAAAAACTTAAACAATTTTATCTGATATCTATTTTATAATTTACATATAAATATATAAAGTAACATTGTGTGTGTGCAAGTAAAAGTGTTTTTCTATTTTTCGAATATTTAAAATATATTATGCATACACTACATATTTTATGTATTGAAAATATGGTAGTTAAGTTAGTACAATAAAATATTTTAAAGATTTGTATGCACTTCAGTAAAATTGATCAAACTTATTTTATACTATATTGTAGTTTTATTAATGAATAAGAGAGATTTGCATTAAAATTCTTTGAAATACACAATGTTGTTCCACAACTGTTTTTTCTTAGAATTTTCATTTTAAATTCTAAGAAAAAATTCTCTCCCAGTATCACACACACACACACACACACACACACACACACACACTCTCACAATTTTTAATTGTATTATTTAAAAAATTAGTTTTATAAAAAAATGGCAATATTTTAAAATTGCATATTGCTAATTTTTGAAATTTCATATAGTTAATAGATGGACTTGTAGCTCGCCAAATAGAACTTTCAACATCTACGCCATACACTAATGTGCAACGTAGTACAGAAGTTATGGAGGAAGAAATGAACATTTATACAAACCTAAAAATGTGCATTACAAACCAAACTAATTCGACTGAAAGTAAAGAATTGATCAAGTCAATGGCTAATCTAACGAAGAACTTTTATGAAGTTATGAATTGTACTGAAAATCCTTACATTTTAGTTTCATACCTCTATAATGTAAGTATTTCAATTAATTTTTACTTGATTTAATTCTTAAACATTCTTTTTATAATAATTTATAAATATTTTTATAATAATACAAAACTTTTTAGTAATATTATAATAAAATGTACTCTTGCATTCTAATGCATAAAAATGTTTATTATTTTTATTAAGAGTTGTAAATATTATTTTATACAAGTTTTATATTTTTTTTTAAATTTAATAACATCGTTCAATGCCGATCACTAGTTCGGCAATGAAAGTTCAAGTGTTCATAGATGATCGGCACAGTATTTAACGAGTTAAATTATAATTGTTCAAAAGATTTTTTAAAAGAATTTTAACATATTTTTTTCAGATTAAAAACATTTCTTCCCAAATAGCACAAACTATGAAGGCGATGATGCATAATATCATCGGAATAGTCTGCAATATAAGTCAGTGTATGAGTACAAAAATTCCATTAGTCAAGGTTATAAAAAAAATCGTCTCAAACATAATCAATGTGTCCAAAGTTTTTATGTCATAATTTAAATTATAAATTATTTATGGGTCGATATAATCTATTTTTACCTGCATTACAATATACATAAACATATATATGTATAGTATAAATTTAACCGAAAAATAAATATATACAAATATAAATACATAATCTCATATTGTATTCGTTCATATAAAGACGCAGTTCTTGATTTATTATCGTATGTTCCATACTATTTCATTAAAATATACATATAGTTTTAATATTTTATCCAATTTATGCAGATATATAATTTTGGGTAAACCCTGGTGAGACACCTCGAAAAAATTTTCGACACTTTACTAAAGAACCACCTTAAAAGAATGAAAATTAAACTTAATGTGAATCACGAATGTCTTAATTATTTTTTAAATGTGTATTTGATAAAATTTCCGATGAGATCGACAAGATATCGCGATATTACTTACACCCTCAATCAAAACGTAACGTTCAAGAGGGTGTTTGTGTAACCGATATAACGTTCGGCTCTAAAATTCACACCTCCTGTTAGCATCGGGGATCGTTACCGGCTCGACCGGCGTTATCTGGGGCACGCATCTCCCGTGCTAATGCAATACATGCGCCAGTGTGACGATATATTGGTCGAATAAAAATATACGAGAGCTCTAATGGGCGCCAGTCGTACCGGGGTCTACTGCTAGGGGTGAGAAACCGGAAAGTAACCACATGCATAGCCCCGCGTCCGGTACGGGTTGGCCTGTATTTCTGCTCCTTCCCGAAGGGAACGTTGACGAGAGGACCAAATAAAAGTCCGGCGAGGAAAAAAAAGGGACAGGGTTTTCTCGGACCGATAGCAAAACGTGTCTATTTTTGTTAAATTTTTGCTGTGATAACTGTAGTTTCTTTTTTATTGTATCTATCTTTAAACTATATATGTTTTGAGAATCATTCTTGTAATTCTTTTCAATCTTTTACAAACGATACTTCACCTTTGTGCAACTTATAATTTGCTAAATATGTAAGAAAGCGCCAAATACGACTAGATATTGATGTCTATTCCTATAATATTCCTATATAAATTTTAAATATATCTTTTAGTTATAAGGTTCCAAAATAATCGCCAAATTTCATAGGCAAGTAGAATAAAGTACTATTTTACAATTTTCGTAATAGTTAACAAGATATTAATTACTAAAAATTGCTGAAAATTGGTCTTCAATAATTTTTTACTCAAATATTCAACATCAATTTCACAGAAAAACTGCTAGACACAAAAATTGTTTATTTTCTTCTCATAGAACTCTAAGAATTTTTTTAGAATTTTTTAATACTGTATTTTCTTATGTTGGAAAATAAGATAATGCAGTACTAAACAATTGATTACTGAACAAAAAATTCTGAAAAAATTCTTAGTGCTCTATGAGAAAAAAACAAACAATTTTTATTTCTAGCAGATTTTTTTTTAAATTGATAGTATTTGAATAAAAATTATTAAAGACTAATTTTCGACAATTTTTAGTAATTAATATCTTGTTAATGCAAAAAATGCAAAATGGTAGAGGATTTTTCGACTCAGTTTAGTTCTACCTGCTCATAAAATATTTGGCGATTATTTTAGGACACCCTATACAAACTGCCGATTACTGTTGAACTTGCAACGCAATTACACATTACAGTTATAATTTTACAAATTAAATTGATTATTTATTAGATAAAAATGCTACTAGAATCTTTAAAAAATACTGTAAATAATTTATATCGTAATTACTTTTTCGTATATAGTTATAATTTTAATTTAATTAAATTATTGAAAACAATTGATTTAAAGTTATCAGAAAATTTTGTCAGAGTTTGTAATAATGCTCTTTTGTAGCACGCTATAGAATGATTTTCGAATATAATCCTTAAGCTCGATGTAACCGCAGCAGCATAGACATTGCACTTGCGGTATACTCGAATGAATCGAATCGAAGTCCAGTCTCCCTCTACTCGACCTTCGTTAGATGTAATTAACGATTTAGCAGATTACGTTTAGGGATAATGTCGAGAATTACTGCAGTTAACTCTCATTTAAGCGCTTATCGATAATGCGGTATGCGACGTGTTTAATTAATAGATTATTTAATAATAAATATAAAGTAATAAATTATATACAAAATTCTTTTTTTTTTCTTTAAATATAAAATAATCTTTAAATTTTTAATGTTTTTAATAGAAACTTAATAAAAAATTTGAGGTCTGATAATTAAGCCTAAAATTTTGTTCAAACATAATCAAGTTAAAATTAAATGAAAAGCAAAATGTTGTTACTTATTTATATTCTTGAAACTTAATTCACACGAAATAACTTTTTCAATTGTACTTGTAATTTAAAAAGTATTTTCGATAAAAGAAGATTGATCGCATAAATAACTTATATTTGATGTTTGTCAAGTACATTATAGAACATCTCCGCAGGATATTATGTCGCATTAGAGACATCTTATGAAAAGTAAGGTTTCATTATGTGTCGTGTGTAACAATCATTCCATTCAAACTTCCTTCACTAATACGGGCCAAAAACATACTGACCTTTCTTCAGAAATCCAATAAAAATCGTCGAACTGCGTGATGCAACTAGGCATAAATGGGGCTCTCCAACTTTCGAAAACTGAAGTCGTAATTTTTACCTGCTGAGCACCCCGTATCTAACTCGTGTCGTCGATAGAAGAAAAAAAAACTAAAAAGGGCTGACAGTTGCAAGGTCAGCTCAAAATGGGAGTTGAAAGCGTACAAAAAGTATCCCTCTAAATGCGAACCGTGAACATGCTGTCGTTTCTGAAGTTTCATAGTTATCAATCGAGAGTTATAACTGTATAATTTAGTGTGCGACTCGTTACTGTCCTCAAGTTTTTTTTATTCGAAACTAGGCACTGTTGGTTAGTGCGCAAATATGATCGATGGCAAGTATGACAGCTCTCTCGGGACTTGCGAAATTCATTTGTTCCGGGATGTAACGTAATGAATTGATAGAGTGCTCACGACACGTTGCGTATCTATGCAGACTATATGGAGAATACTTGTAAATTAATGCAGATGAGCAAAATGAGGATTTTATTTGCGACTATAAAATGTTACGTTACCAATTATAAAATGAAATTTTAATTCAGAAGTAATATTGATAATTTTTGTAATAATATTTACTTGTTTACAGTGACAAGATAAAAAGCGCAAATTTAAATGTTGTTTTCATCGACGTATGAATATGCAATATAATTTTAGAAATTACAGCAAATGTTTTATTATCCATATTTAATTATGATGCATTAAAATATTAAAGTTTTAATATTGAACACATTTATTTTCGTTTCTTGAATTTGAATAAAAATATCTCCGAATATAAAACACTGTAATTGATATTTTTACAATGAATATGATCGTGGTTCAAGAGGAGAAGGATCAGGTTTTCAAAAACATATGTCCATCGACACGTGTTCGTTTTGCATTGTCAAGTTTAAAGTACACGCGAGAGCGACAGTCGGTCTTCAAGTATTTGCGTCAATACTTATTTGCGGCTTATGAAAATTTTAAGTCTCATAAATTACGAGTTATGGAACAGATGTAAATTACGAAATTATTACCGGATTTTACTGCGTCCAAGAACGTCTCGATAATCCGATACTGTCTCATCGTAAAAGCGAAAGCAGGGAATCGTTATAAGCGAAAATTTTACGGTCGACCGATCAGTAGTGATTTTAAGTTTGTGTGTGTAGGACTCAAGGTCATGTACCAATGTCCAATATCGTTGATGATTCAGTAAATTGGTCTATTGTGACGATTATAAAGACGTAAAATCTTGGCTACAATCATTTCATTATTACCAATTAAATAGATCAAAAAACCTGTTATAATTTGATTGGTAGAATTACATTGTAGATACGAATTTATGATCGCTTTAGTAAAATTGAATTATATATTTAAAATATTGAAGTTCTATCTTCAGAGATTGACTAGAAATGCAAATATTAAAACTTATAAAATTTAGTTTCTCTATTAAATAATTAATATATGTAACACATCGATAGTCTGATTAATTAATAATAAGAATTCAAATATGTGTAAATACTAATATTTAGAAATGTTAATTTTTATCTATTAACGAAAATATGTATTCCATATCTATTCATAATTGTGCATTTTTCACTTCTCTTCAGTATTTTAAATATTATAATAAATGTCGAAATATCATATTTATAATTACGGATTTGCTTTATAAAAATATGTGTTTAAAAATTTAAGATAAATTTAAGATAATCTGTACTACACTCATGACACTCTGACGTATATTCGATAGTGCCAGTTAATACTAAAATTATTTCGATTAAAAGGAATTATATATGTGTGGCAGTGTGGCTTTCTTGTCGTGGCGTATAATATAATGTGACAGCTTTGTTAACAAAATAGACCAACTAAATTCGCGATGTTATAGAATTAATAATCGTAACAATGAAATTAATACCTTTGTAAAATTTTGAATATATCAAATATTATGATGAAATAGAATTTATTTATTCAAAAACACCGTTATTAATTTCGTGTTCTAAATTTACGCGTGTCGAAATAATAGCAGCATGATTTTTCGCGTACGATGCCTTATTGCGATACACTTCTCTAAGAGCCGCTAAAGGCAAGTATCTCATATTGTCTACCAGGAAACTTAATCTTCAGCTGCTGCTTCTCCAGGCGAATGAGGTTTCATTAAAAAAATCCAATTTTTAAGAGCGACTACGTTCAAGCCAAGGGGCAAGAATTAAATTCTACGTGCTTCTTTTTTTGCTTGCGGCAGCGCGAAATTTGATGGGCTCAGAAGGAGATCCTCCCGATACGGATAGTATCCTAGAGTGCGTAAAGAGGCTGATATTAAAGGAGGAAGGAAAGGCATAAATAATAGAGGGACGGTTTGTCGTCGAATCGATAGGCATCGTTTTAATTATCTCACATTTACAATGAAATATATTATTGCCTGCAAACGGAATGTTACGGTATCTACTTGCATTGCACGTTACTTTATATCTCGTTAACAGTATTGATACGAGTTATTTATTTTAAAAGTGATAAAGTCTATTTTTTTAAACACAATAAACATTAACAAAATAAAATTTTTATAACGAATATCATTCCATTTTATATATAAATAAATAGCTTTTAACGTAAATTTACGAAAATTTTGAATATATCAGTGAAGTTTTAAATTTACATTTTTATGTATGATCACTAGAGGGAAACTTCAAAAGGATGTACATACAAAAACGAGATGTGTATTTAAAGCGTAATTATCTTTATTAGCTTGGCGACATAATCTATTTATTAAAGCGATACAAGGCGGAATATTTCAATTCCGCTGGTGTCGTCACTGAAGCAATCATGTAAATTATATATAGGTGAATAGATAAATAGATATGTTAGGTCCCTTAGGATATGTGATATATACTTAAGGCATGAGATAGCACCGTCGATGACTATGACTAATGATGTCTACTTCGCGGTACTTCTGCTGGTACGACACTCACTCTTATGGGACGCGCAATACCTCAAAGTAAGGGGATCTACATGCACAATTAATTGCCGGTTAATTGTGGCCGGCGTGATGCGGGCGCCATGGTGGAAATTAGCGTAACTTCGTGTGGCACGTGAACAACTCGTTGCGCGTATCGAATTTATGCGTGTTGCTCGCAGTGGAAATGGAAATGTCACTCGCATCGACGCCATTTGTCGAATGGGAAAGCTATGAAAAGTGTCTTGCAAATAGTGGTGATATACAATTACGCGATCGTACCAAAATTCATTCTGCAAATATGCAGTAATCCCAGGCGACTACAGTTTTCATCGTAATGAAAGGAATTTATAAGCAGGCTCGCAAATTAATCTAGTTGTGTTGAAATTTCAATATATCGAGCGTAAATCAATTTTCGCTGATGTGGAAATTTCTCTCGCGGTTGTATCGGGATTGCAATTGTTATTTTGGAATAACAGTTTGCCTCAAATAATACTCTTTTTTTCTGCTGACAATACGATACACAATAAACATTAACTAGCAAAATAGGTATTAATTATTTTAGCAAACGTATAATACTAAAAAAATAATAAAATAGTTATTCGGTGCTCTCTCTTGTATTTTTATTATAGTTTTTATTTGATTTCCGTACTAAAAAAGACTCGATTCACAATCGAAATGTTTGCAGTTAACTATGTTGGTAAATAAATAGATTCCAATTGTTTGCAAATTATATCTTATAGCCTTACAAATACAAAGAAAATGACATGAAGATCTCTTAAAGAGATACCCCTTTATTTCTCGAAAACTAACTGTTGCACTTTATTGATAAAAACATGATCCGTTTAGCTAATTAAAGAAGTAAAAACACGTAATTTGTACCCTCTGAAATCCTTGGAGTAAAATCTAATTTTAAGGAATGACGAAGAGTGACAATTGAGCAAGTATTGAAAAAGAGTAATTCAATTATCAGTTTTTAAGAATGAGAGTGAGATATTTGTAACTTTTTTCTATACAAAATTAGTTAAAAATGAATTCTATAAATGCAGAAATAAAATTTTTAGAATTTTCTTTTGCAAATTGCTTGAATAATAGTGGCTGTATTTTTGATAATATTATATACATTGTTTTACGTATTAATAATTTCTTAACAATTTCTTGTAATACAAAATCGAAGTTCTCATACATAAAAATACACACACACACACACACACACACACACACACACACGGTGTAAGTAACCGACACACCTGTCTGTAAGATAGACCATAAGTTTAATCTTTATAGTGTTGCGTTATGTCAAATGGCCCTTAGAAGGTAATCACATATTTATAGAAAAGAAACCTTAACAAACGAAACTATCGCGTGTTTGGTAGAACGGTATAAGATATGCATATAAGTAAATAAAAAATGTTTGATATGAAAATAAATAAATTTTTATGTACATTTACTTGTACGTATTTTGTATAGATAATTGCTATGAAAGAAAAAGAATAAGAATGACATTAATGTTTACTATATTAGTTTTGGGATCCATTTTATCAGACGCTTATTTTTGTTTATTTCACAAAACAATGAATTATTGAAAAATATTATGAAAACTTCTATATTATCTGATACGAAAGACATTTTTTAGTTTATATTTCGAAAGTTTTATTTGTAGTTTCCGTTTAAGAAATATTGTTCGAAAACAAAGTGATATGTCACGGGTATCGGTGACCTTCGTCTATTATTTACACACTAATAACCGAGAAGATACTTGTAGATGATTTATTTACATTAAATTTATTTTTGAAAAGTCACCATTAATCAGAAGAATCACCATAAAATCTATTTTTATTTTAATAAAATAATTATTTAAAAGGGCAAATTGGCTCGAAATTACATCTTTATTGATGGTGGTAATCTTACTGGAAATTTTTTAAATATGTAATTTCAGTCTATGTTAGAAATGCTCGGCGTTCATTATCGCAAACGGCAGTTGTGACATTAAAATGTTAAATAAATCAATTTTTCATCTTGCATCGAAATGAACCGCGAAAATGACTTGTACTTAGCTTCACTCGATGGAAATTTCTTTCTCGACTTTTACCGTCAGCGCACGCTGAAATCCAACGGTCAAAGAGTAAAAAAAGGAGTAACACTCTTTTCCTTGCTCCAGCCCGCTTGCTCGCGAGTATGATAAAGAGATCTCCCATCTTGCTCGTTTCACCCCAGCTTGATCCGAGAAGAATAGCATGAGTGGAAGTGTCGAACATGTGCCCGGGATTGGCCGGTGCACTTTCTCGGCTGTGGAGAACTCCAAGGAGTCAGGTGCAAAGATGTACATGCGCGCGGACGTCGAAATATTTCTGAAAGGAACGGCTGGTCAGGACACGGACGGAGGGATAGGGAGGAAGGCTGATGGTGGACCGTGGGGGTGGGAGAGATCCGGAAAGTCCTTGGCAAAAGGTGCAACCCCCAGAGCGCGGTTTCTTGAACAGAAACGAGAGAGAGAGAAAGAGAGAGAGAGAGAGAGATAGATAGATAGAAGTATGGTTGATCGTGTGCGCTGCCGGTTGAAGAGAACGGGGTAGTCGTTCGGTCGTTCGTACGTGAAGGGTCGGTGTTAGGCAGTCGGAACATGGCATAGTGGCGCGGGAAGGAATAGGCAGAGAGAGGAACCGACCACCGTTGGAATGCGAGCGGAACGAGGACGACCGAGAGTTGGGCGAGAAAGAGAGAAAGAGGGCGAAAATCGAGAGCGACAGGATGGTAGCGGAAGAGAGAGAGAGAGAGAGAGGGAGAGGGAGAGGGAGAGAGAGAGAAGGAAGAAGAGGAACAGTTCCCGAAGAAGGAGGCAGAGATGGATGGAGGGAGAAGGAGAAAGAGATACAGAGAGCCCACGATTGGAGTGAGCGGGAGCGAGAACGGGGAGGGCGAAGGATAGAGATCCATGGGGGATGGTGCGCGCGTAGGGTCGCGCGCGACAACGAACGTGGGTGTTCTCGAGAAGGGAGGGGGGAAGGGAAGAGAGAGAGAATGGTGGGAGAGAGAGAGCAGTAGGAGAAAAGCGGTGGGGACTCCCTAGGCCGAGGAACCAGTCGGGTCCCGGCTTCAGGTCGTGGCGGCGTTCAGTTCACAGGCGGATGCCGTGGCGCGCGGTTGGCCTGTTCGGGACGTATCGTACCGGAGTGCGTGTTTTCTCCCTGAGAGAAAAAGAGAGAGAGAGAGTGAAGCTTCGAGTTCGTTCAGATAAGGAACGACAAGATAGTGATAACGGAGTTTTCAAAGTAATCTCATTTGATCTGAAGAACGACGAGGTTTGTCCGATAAAATCTCGGCTCCAATCCGACGGACGTATCGTGGACCTCTCCGTTCGGTTCGTGAGAAACAAGTTGGAATGAATAATTTTTCCTCCGCGAGTCATCGGTTCGATGGAACCTATCGATCGTAATTACAGTGGATAGTGTGGTATCTGCTTGATCGCGCAAATCGCAGCGCAACTTTCATAGCGTCGCGACGACGGACGTCAGGCAGGGAGACGAGAGTGACGCGCAGATAAACAGATCGAGAGACGCGAAGTGGTTGTCTATCACCGCGCGCGACTCGCTACCGAGAGAGTTATCGGTTTCGTAGTTACAGAAGGGCGTAATCGAGGCGCTCGTAAAGTGAGTGAGTGACAGTGGCGGAAGTGTGTGATCGCCAGGGCGGCGGATGATAGGAAGTTCTTAACGACACGGGTGTGTATAACGGCGGAGGATCACCGATTCCCCGAGACCGACGCTCAAACTCGAGATTACGAGTTCAGGGACATCTCTCGTCGTCGATATTTCTGAGTGGTGAGTTTTCTCTATGACTCATAAAATTTCGACGAACACGACAGTGGAACGAAAGCTGAAAAAAAAAACAAGGTTCCAAGAAATGTTTGAAAAGCATTCGAGAGATTAGATAGCGTGTTAGTCATTTGCGATGTTTTTAAGCGTTATTAATGGTACGTTATTTTTTTTCTGTCTCCTAGCTCATAAATTTATGGTATTTTTCTTAACATTTGGAGATTTTCTCAGAATATTGCTTCACATAATTTTAACAAGTTGATAAGGACGAGCGGGAGTAAAAATCCTGCGCGGTAATTCGTGCGTTATAAATTCAATAATAAAGTAAATGGTATTTTTCTTGTATCATTTAACAAGATGTTCGACTGGATTCAAGTCATTATTACATAATTTTATATTCATACGCGAGACCTGTAAAAATGTAATAAATATGTGTCCGTCTTCATTTATTTAGATAAAAAAATAAACGTTGATGTTTAAAGTTTGATGTATTTAAGTTTTGCAAAATAACGTTGATGTAAACCTTAGAAAATAAATATAATACGTTAAAGTAAGATTGATAAATCTAAATCGTAAAAAACGAATACATTTATAAATATTATGAGCCGTTTTTTATGAAAAAATTGTTTACGTCATTCTTTCTCAGAAATCGATACAATTTTGGATCCGTTAGTACAACAGACGAAGTTTCGTTTGATAAAAGTTAGGATTCTTTGACATGTTTGTCTCATTGTCAATAACTATGTGAAGTGTTATGAAACATGGTCGTTGCTCTAATAGATGATGAAATGTGAACAGTCATAGATAAAACACAAAGATGAAACTTTCAATGCATTATCGACATTGATAATAACTTATGATAACTCGATATAACAATAGAAATGTGCTGGAAAAGAGATAATTACCCTTTGAACGGTCTTTCCATTGTATCTTAACACAACATTGAAAAGTTTCCGCTTTAATAATGTCTAATTTTTTTCGAGCTAATATATTATTAAAAGTTGTTTAAAATATTTTTAATTTTTCTATTAAAGAATTCTAAATTTTTATACTTTAAAAGAGCGCTTTATAATAAACTTCAACATAATTATGTAAAAAATATATAGTACTTTTCTCTCAAATATTTTGTTTGGAGTAAGTAAGGAAGACTTTTCCATAGGAAATTATTGCAATATTTTTGTTAAATAGAGATTTTCACGCAATATTATTTTGATTTATGTTTAAATAAATAATATCAGTCTAATGACTGATCGTGAAGCACTAAAAACTTATAAAAGAATTGTGCAAGTCACAAATCATTCTAACCATAAATTTAGAGTTCATTATTTTTTTTCCTAACAAAACTATCCCAGTATCTATCGCTATCGGTTTCTATCGCTCATCAAATAAATTTATGCCGATTTATTTTTATTTTCCATGGGGAGAAAAAAATGATCCTCAATTACCGTGAGAAATGCGAAAGTTAACCGCCGTCGCTCGGCATGGCGGTTTGATAGCAAATGGTTGAAGTTTCTGGTTGACCTAGCGAATAGCTGCGAGCACCGCGAGAGTCATTTCGCGAATAATGCTTCACGGTAATATTCGCAGATCGATGTTTATGCCGTGGCGCCTGTCACGCGCAGTCTGTCGCTCCGAGCTCGTACAATGCAGTGAAACGCGAAAGTGATCCCACGCCGCAAAAAAGGAAATAAAATCGTGCGATCGTAAAACACAAAAGCTCTCGATCATACGAAATACATCTGCGCGTATGTCACTCTGGTGCATATAGACTCGTAGAAAAAATGTGGAATCAAGTTTTCGGACCCAATTTAAAGTTCTCACTGAATCGCTGAGATTTAGTACTGTGTGACACACTAATCACTAATGTCTCATATACAAGCTGTCGTTACAAGCTGTACCTGTTCACGACAGGTCCTTTGATAAACACGAAGTCAATTTTTTTTTTATTCAGATACACAATTTACCGGCCACAAAATTATTGGATTGTTTATTTGTTAACATTTATTTCGTTGAATTTATTGTCTGGGATTGTGAATAATGAAATTCGATTCCTGATTTCTTTAAATCAGAGAACTTAACTAGAGTGATTAATATATTAATAACTATTTAAACACAGATTTACTAAAATCAAAGTAACGTGATTCTTAAATTTTTACATGTATACGAAATTTGTTTGTGTCGTCCAAATCGAGAATAATTAATTCTTCCGCTTTAATGTTGCAGTCAATTCGAATTTTCTGCCGATTGCAAATGTTGGGCTCAAAGCAACGTTCTGGCTCGATTCGCGGGTTTTCTATAAACCTAACAATGACCGGCCTAATTCTAATGGCATGTCCCAGTTCTTTTTTTTTTTGTAAAAGTTTCTGAGTATAACGGCGTTGTCTCCACAGTCCGAGACGGTAAATTTAAGAGCATTGTCGTGTCGTGCGGCCAAAACGAAAATAACAGAGGTTCGAACAGAACCCTTTGCACTGTGTGCCCACTGTGGGAAATTTTTCTTTCTCTCTTAGAATCTTTTTGTCGGTGACGTCCATAAATCTTAATTCATCTAAGTCAACGGTCTTTTTCATTATTTAAATCTTATAGCAGAAAAGATATTAATTTTTCTATATACGGTTTTTATATTTAAAACTTTTATGTTAAAATAAGAAAACGAACTAAACTGCTCGATCAATTCAACATACATTTCTTCGATTAAGAATATATTGCATATTACATGTATTTTTTTGCAAAATGAAAAAATTACAGATTTTTTATGTTATATTGTGTGTATTTGAAAGTATTATAAAAAGTTCGACAGCGATTTGGATAAAAAATTATTTCAATAAGAAGTAGACATGTTTTTAAAAAATAATTAAAACGAAATGAGAATTTTTTATTTAAATTATAAGATTGTATTATTAGATATATTAAATATTGAATGTTTCATATGCATATAAAATTCATTTTTACATGGAAAGTATAAATTTCTATTTTCAGTCTTTTTACGGAGACTATACACCCAATGCATTCCTAAAATAACATATCAATTTCAAATTACGTATGTATTAACTTATGTATTCTAATCTTCCTAATATCTTCTAAATCTTGTTTTGCTCTAATGTCATGGTTTTCCAGCGTTGTAAAATTGGATTTTCTTGGTAATGATCTACAAAGTAGGAAGCAAATAAAGTATTGTGTTTGGGATGGATAATCCTACAGCTAAGCTCCTTAAAATGTTAAACATTCTTAAAGATAGCATTAGAATATTAGAAATATCATGACAGCCTTATAAGGATTAAGCTGGGGTCTTTCCTAACCATAAAGACCTCAAAGTTCTTGACGGAATTACCTGAGCTGTTCGTTGGTGGCATCTAGCAACGTTATAATATGAGCTAACGTCTCGTGAACGCGAATTTTAGCAGTTCGTAAATGCGTAATGTTACAAGTGACTTTATGAATATAGCATGCTAAAAAATATGACGGTAGCAAGAATGACGAATGGTAAAAGCTCACTATGAATCACTCTTATATTGTAATCTTTGCGCTGTATGATATATGACGCGAGAGTGAAATATTTCGTCTCAGCTGTCGAGACGAAATATCTTTTTCTGAATATGTGTGATGGAAAATCAGAATGCACGCTAAAAGTAATTCTTTAAATCTTTTACAATATCCTTTGTCTTCGTGCACTCTTAATTCTTAATGTTTATAGATAAGATATTCAAGTCAAGTCATTAGAATAGGATTTGAAGAACTATATGAATAAACCGCTCAAAAGTTAATGATAATTCCTTAAACGATATTTAGAAAAATACAACCGCTAAAGAATATTCCATTCAAATAATCCTCAATAATAGATCCTCCTTCGCCTCATTAGAGATTTTCGACGTCTTGTTGTTATTTGGCCAAAATTACTGCACTCGCAATACATTCGTATTTTATAATTCAGCAAGAAGAACAAACAGATCGTTAAAACTTTATTAATCCTATTTTAACGATGTTCGATTAGTACATTTGATAGCCGTTGTTAACTCGCTTTCGACTCTTCTTGCAAGAATAAACCTGTAAAGGCGAACTCGTGCGGAGCGATTGAATCGTTCTTATGGCGATTATACAAAAAAAGGAGCAATCGATTCGATTCGTCTCTCTGATATCGCGGCGATTTGCGACGTGCCGCACAATCGCATTTCCATAGGTTGAGAAATGGGTCCTCTCGCGAAGTGCGAAAAGATTGTCGCGAGTGCGAGAGATGGTGGGCGTGGATAACGCCGTGCCCGTCGGGTGATGTTTCACCCGGCTGTCCTACATCAGGATCTTTACCGGCTATCTCCTTTAAGCTCCGGCACTCTCCTTGTGGAAGGTCCTCCGTGGTTTCGAGACCGTTTGCGTTTCCCGCATTTCCAACCCTCTCTTTCTCCTTCGTCACTCTCGCATGAAAATTATTCCCTCGTTCGCTTTCTGTCGGACGGAAAAAGCAATCTGTTAACGGATCTCGTTCTTCATCCCTGTACGAGAAACCGTCTCTTCAAATCTGTTTTTGCTCTTGGAGGGATTAGTAATATTAACATCCGTATATCGATACTTATTAATCTCGCTGCTTAAATTAAAAAAAAACATTAATGCAGTTTCATCGAAATTATCGTGATTCCAAATTAATATCGGCATATTATACTTTTCATCTGCCTTAATCCTTTTCATTGAATGCAATACGGTAACAGTTTTATTTATCATAATTTATTATATCTTTTCATATACCATATTTTAATTATTATTTATTAAAATTTTTATTAATATTAATGTTTACGGAATGCATATATATATATGTTGTATAATTATATAATTAAATATCTTTTCAAAAACAATGAAGAATAATATCGGTTTATTAATATAATGGAATCATGAAACGTTAAATATAATTCAGGTGCGATGTGTTATATATATGTATATGCACGGGAATAAAATTATTATTTTATAAAATTCTAATGAATTACGAACGTATGTTTGACAAAATTTGCGACAAATGC